AAATTAGCTGTGAACTGGCTCTAGAATGGCAAACGGGAGACAACTGGCTCGAGATATGTGATCTTGTGAGGCCTTGGCCTGCAGTTCTATGATGTAGATATGATAATAATGCATTTACAATATTATTTTTATTAACACTGCCCTGATTTCATAATGGTGCTGAATTTGTAAAGAGAATTGCTATGGGAACAGGCTACTTCCGGTGCCTGGTCTGCCTGCTGTATAATACAGTGGGGGTTTATGGAAGCATGATTGTAGTCGCATGTCATGCCACTGCAATAAAGATGAACTGGATCTGAGACTGGTGTTGTTGTTTATTCATTTCTTGTTGAGATTTTTCAACCCATTTATTGATAGCCGTTCACGAATCCACAAATTTCCGCAGCCCATCAAGCATAATATGAATTTGATTGAAAACTGGAAACGAGTTTAAATAACAGTTGAGTGAACACTTTATTCATAAATATCGGTTGATTACAAGTGGACAGAGCACCATTTTATGCATAGGCCACGGCCAAAAATCTTTTTTTTTTTTTTTTTTTTTTTTTTTTTGAGGCAGTTATTGCCCGACTTTTTGGAATATGTCACGTGTGCATGTATATCTGAATAAGCCTACAGTCTCCACTAGGCCAGGCGGCGTGTTCCCTAAAGCTATTATATATTTTTATCGGGAAACCACTGTAGCAGTATATAAGGCGTATATAAAAATCACAGAAATTCACAGCAGTAATAATTCATGTATAAACGAGTCCCAGTGTTAAACAAAACATAGCCCCGGGCCCCATGTAACCTGCCCTCCAGTGTTGATAAATTCATGGTGAAATTTTGGATCTGAATAACACTAACGCGATTAATAAAGATAGAAAGAATCTGTTGTTTCATGAATATATTAAAACTAGAATTAAAACTAGACGACACCATGCCATTTGGCTCACCTTTCGAAATTGCGAACTTTAATGCAGTCGTTATTTCGTAAACGTGGGTCATATCGTTACCATTAATAAACTCAAAATTATTTGTGTCAAGTATAAATTTATAAATTTGTACGGCAATCTTCATCGTCTTACTTCATTCACTCGTAATCTCTGGACAAAATACATGTATATTGGAAGTGTCTTTTTTACACAGTTTGTGAAATGTTCATACAGTGTAGGCCTACATGGATATATTGCGACATGTTCCATTCAGTAGAGGCAGATCGTGGCCCCTCCATAGGCGTGGGAGTCCTTAGTGAGACTAGGGGGTACGCTTCCAACCTCCCTAGGCCAACCCCAGACCCCTTTATCAATCACGCCAGTCATTAGCGCAAAAATCAGGAGGATAAAGACCCTTGTCCACTGATTTGAGCCAAATGTATACTTAATAAGTCATTAAAATGTTACATTAAACCCAAATAGTAATTGTATTTCGCTGAATGGTTCCCCCACCGTCTTGATAAATTTGCCTTCGGCATGTGCAACTCTTTCCTATAAAAAAGAAAACAATTCTCAGCGCTTTCCCATGCTTGGGGAGTCTCTAGTTGTGCAATCTCATCTGCAAGTAATTCTAGCACCTCCATTGCCGTTATTGTTCATAAATTCGCCGTTCATTTTTATGACTATACATAATATATGACTATATAAATCCCTGGCGTCTCTGTCACCTGTAGTGAAATGGGTTTCTAGCTCATTACCGTGTTATTTAGATGCAAAGTCGCACTGGTACTGTTGGCGGATGATACCAACGCTCGAACATTTCTTACCGCTGTTTTGTTGCCGGGAGAGACTGTCTCAACTATGGGCGAATTCACAACGGCGATCTTGACCAATGACACGTTAGTCGACTCCTCGAAAGTGACTTTCCGAATTTTTAGCCGTTTACTGAAGGGGTTAGCGCTGGTGTGTGAAAACAAATACAGGAGACCCACGATGACAACTATCAAGAGGAAGACGTGTATTTTGGCGCCCCTATAGGGTAGGCTCGGGACCCTGGTACTGGTATATCGATAGTCTTCATTATAGTCCATTGCGCCTCGGTGACGGGAACAGTTCAATGCACTTGTGTCCCACGGGAACTGACACCACGCCCAAGTTACCCCTGTGGAAATGCTGAATAATAAATCCGATATTTATGACGCTATAGCTCCTGGAAAATGTTTGTTCATATAATAATCCATAGAATAATCCAGACCAATTTAGTGGATTTTTATGGATATTCCTCGCTAATACAACTAACTATTATTCATTGTACCTGCTGCGCTATGTCCCTGTGTTGCTACCAGTACGTTACCACGTCTAAAAACGGACACCCTTGTGCAAAACCACGGTCCTCAAAAAGGAGCCGTTGCCTCTGTCACTTTAAACTGAAAACGTTTCTTTCAGGCAGAAGCATCAGCATCACTCTGCCGACATTGGCTTTTTGCTGTATATGATATGTATGTACTTATACCTTGTGAGTTCTATGCAGGTTTCATAAAATATTTATGTTCATATTGCACATCTTGTCACAGGTTGACAGTTACAGTTTGATGTCCTCCATGCATTTACTGCTCTACACTGTAGAATTACATGAAAATAGGACACAGTGGAAACTCGAGGACTGCGTATGCATACGTGACCCCTAACTGTGTAGGCCTATTACCCGAAGATTTTCAACATTATCTTTTAACTGCCTCACTTCTCACTACTCCCACGCATATTCTTTTTTCAATTTTTCGATTTTGCTTTAATCTTTTTCTCTCTAACTTTTACCCTTCTTCCATCCCCCTTCTCTTTGCCCTCCATCTTATCCCTTTACTATTCTAGGCTACAGCCTCCTCTCTGCCTAACCTGCACTTTAACCTCCTTTTTGTTATCAGATGACTCTAAAATACACTGTAGTACACAAATTTTAAGCACTAGCCCCTGAATCAGATCGTCTCCAATGCCCGCCGGATACAATGATTTTGTATAACAAATTCTACTACCAGCGGGATCCCATGGTCACCAGAAAGCATCTTTAACCAAGGAAATGGAGGAAATTATTTGCTTTAACCTTATCTACATGTAATTAAGAAGATACGATAAGTTCTTCGTTCCTCTATCTGCATCAATTAGTAAATTGGACTGCACTAATTATCTTCAAACTTGAGATAATTGGTCACAAAACACGTGCATGTGCGTATCAAAAAGAGAATCTTAGAGAATGAAAATATAAAAATATTACTGACCAGTGCTATATGAATCGTTGCCTTTTGAGTAATAACGTTTTGCGTTGCGTGCGTACGTTTAATTATATACAGTATAAGATAAAAGAGGCCTTCGCGTTTTGTTTCCGATATCCACGGCATTTTAATTTCCAAACCACCTCTTTAAAAGCAGGAGGAGTAATGCAAGAAAAATCTTTCTTCTTCGCACAAAAGTGTACATAATAGGAAAGGTCGTAAGCCTTGTAGTAACACATTGGTCTTGATAAAGGAGGCTGGCCAAGCTTTTGGCCTATCTCCTCTCCCCCATCCCCCGCAACACATCGGCTCTATGGCTTAGTTGGTTAAAGCGCCTGTCTAGTAAACAGGAGATCCTGGGTTCGAATCCCAGTAGGGCCTTCATTTTCTTCCTCTGTAATCAACAATGTCGTGATATGAAGATATATCTTCAAACTTGTAGTATTACTGGGAAACGTGATAAATCGATGAACACCTCGTCCCTAATAGATGTTCTCAGTTTTTTTATTTTAACTTTAAAAATGTATTTCAAACTAAAAATTAACACACATACATGCACACACAAACACTGTAAAAACAAATAACAATAACGGTATTCAACAATACGCCTTTTATTTGAAAATACATTTGTGTGATTTGAACAACCATCATCTATCTTAAACCTGTGCGAGATTCACGTCTAGAATGCCCCGGTTCGTTTCGCTTTTGCAAAATATGATCTTAGGTGTGCGCAAACATTCTTTTTACTTCTCGATTTGTGAAGAGAACAGTCTTGTTTTTGTTACTTTTTCTCCTAGCAGCGTTTAATCTTTATGTATTTTCAGACAACTCCACAGCTGTTAGCGAAAACCTACGTCTTTGAAAGGCAAGTGATGCTGTTAAGGTCTTAAATTGTGCTCTTCACGAGTAAATCTTTCACAGGCTTTGGCGCGAGAGATTGTCTTTCTTCTTACAATTTCCCCTTGTACTTGTGATCCTCAACCTTAATGTGCTGTACCAACCTGAAAGAAGAAATCGGATATACATTATCATTAACTGACGATCCACATAGAGTAAGCACCTTTTTACTCGATGTTAAAAGGGGCCAAGAACGTATGATGGTTTCGATTGAGCTATCGGCAGCAAAGCGCGAGGAGAAAACAGATTGAAGTTTGATTGCTTCTACGTATCTCAACTAACGCACTCACCAGTCCTTGCAGAATAGAAGGTCAGCGTCGGAGATGGGGCATTTTATGGCAGCGAGGACGGCCAAGAACTTGTCATGCATGATCTTATGTCTGGCAAAACCAGGGAGGTTTACTTTGACCATCATACCCTGTCAAAACAAAGTAAATAAATAAAAATACCACAAATATGGTATTACAATTAAATGTTCTAATTTCAATCGCAAAGGAGACTCCGCCTTCAGCTTCAGATTTAAAAGATCAGAAATTAAAATGAATACACATTGGTTGAAAGATTTTTAAAATAGTCCTTACTTTTTAGCCTGCAAAGAATTATATGGGGCATAAATAACAGAAAGCGCGAAGCTGACGTGTATACCGTACAAGAGGAGCAACGCTTCCAGCGCAATAGATTCAACATTAACCACAAAATAGAGCACAAGTCTTTGAAAAATGTCCATCATTACAAAGGGAGGGTGTTCACCCTATATTCCAACAAAAGTTTACGCAGGAAAATTAAGTTTCAAATTTTATAAAAGTCAGTCACAATAGACGGAATATTGAGTTTTATAAGAGTATATCTGGCTAAAGACGTCAAAACTCCTCACCTCCTCGTCAGAGAAGTGGTTTGCGGACACGGACTGCAGGTTGCCGAGGGCGCCTTGGTCTCTCTTAGAGGCACAGTTGAAGACGGCATCGAAAAGCGCTTTGTGCTCATCGTCCAAGTTCTTGTACTAAAAAAGAAACAACAATTAAGGACATCCTAGATAATGTTCTCGATGAGAAATACCACAGATATCCATGCGTGTAGTGGCCTAGTATTGAAAAATTAAATATGTATTTATCTTGATTTTTGGACGGACCTGATAGTATTAAAGAAAGAAGAATGAAATTTAATTCATACAATATTGTATAATGCGTATAACTGTATAGTCTAAACCAGCCATTCTGCTTTTTGACATGCTGATGTACCACCCCTTTTAACACCGACGCAATGGTTGAAGCCACGTGAGCACATACAAATAAATATCTACTTGAGGTCTTCACGGGTAAAAATAGCTGCCATCATTAAAAATTTCATAAAATTTCATCATTAAAAATTTCATAAAAACAATGGACTATTGCAAAGTTGTCATTTTCTAACAGATCAGTTGAACTCGTCCTTGTTCCTGCAATCTGGGAACGTTACTACCAAAGCGGCTCATACTTACGAAAATTACGAAGGGTTCGTAATCTGGAAATGCTATTACTGGTACCACAAATTTCCAAAATTGTACTTACGAAAACGGCGAAGGATTTGTTATCTGGAAACGCTACTTCCAAAAATATCTAACTAATACTTACAAAAACAGCGAAGGAATCGTCCCATTTGAATGGTTCTGGAAGTGCGAAAGCCATGGCGATGTTGGATATCTTTTGAAAGAAACGTGAAAAAACTTTCTAAGAACTTTAGACAGGAGTACTGAGCTTCCCTGAACCCGAATTACTCTAAAAGTTACTGTCCACTGAAAACTCCGAGTTTATATAGCCGGGAATACGTGGGCATGCAAAAAAGATTTATACATTGTAAATGGGAAACGATTAACCGAATTAATGGTATGCGGTAAAGAGAATTACCGGTCCTTGAAGGTCATATAAATTGTCCAGAAAAATCAAGCCTAATCACTTTAATGATGTACCAGAATTTGTGTAAGAACAGCATACATGTAGGAAGCAAATAAGGAGACCCATGTCGACATATCTACTTAATTCATTTGAATTTATTAATCAAGCTAGATAGCTGTTGAGGTAGCGTTGAGTTTCCAACAAAGGGCTGCAGCGGTCAATGTTAAGAGGACCATTAATTTGCGTTATTTATTTGGTCTACGTGAAAGATCGCAGTCAATAGACCGTCCAGCTGTGGCGAAGTCCATCTTTTTTACGGTTACTGGTCGAGGATCGATTTATTGATAATGGCAACAATATGCTAGCACAGGTGCTCTTCGCGCAATATTGGTCATTCGAGGAGGGAAACGGTCAATAGATCTTGGACCTAACGCAGCAGATAGACAAATATACAGTGTTCATGTGTCTACCCTTTTGAACTGGTGTGAGTAAGGGCACGTGTAAGGTCATTAAACTTTTCTTACTTTTTGACCTTCGGTCACTTCTAAGCATTAAGTATTGAGTGGGAAAAAATAAGATAGCTTTTATTCTGTTATGTTTGTATTATGTTTCAGATGAAGTTATTTACATTTTATTTGATTTCCGTAACGAATATTGGATTTTAAAAGGAGTCAAAATCAATCCACCGTTTATTCACAGAAAAGAAAAGTAAACTTGATTGAAAGAAAAAAAAATCCGCCACCTTTTGGTGCATGTTTTTATCACCGGTCACTCATTAGTATTTCACACTATGAAGTTAACTTACAGTTATATATCTTACCACCCTCTCTCTCTCTCTTCATTTATCTTGTACACAGATAACATTATTGTTTATTTCTTTGGCACAAAAATGCAATTTTTTAGCAGAAATAGCAAATTAAATACAAACCGCCTTTACGTATACATTAAATGGGTACCGGATATTAAAAAAAAAAAATAATAATAAAATAAACTAAATATAAAACGGTAGAAATCCAACAAATAAACAAACAATGTATTTTTTATTAGGTTGGCATTGTGATGATAGCGAATTTCAAGCTGGAGATAACCAAATATGGAAGTGCCGAGGTTAAAGTCCCCGAATGTAAAAGGTTGTTAACCTATTAAAGTACTCCCAGTAATCCCCAGACTCCGGCCATAGATTTCCTACAGAGGTACCTTCACCAGATTTATGTATAGGCTGGTCCACTTGGGTTGAAATATTACGATGTGGCCATGGAAATTTCCAGACAGAAGAGTGAGTAGGGTATTTCAGCACACACGAGGTTCATTGACGTACGGCAAAAGTGTCCAGAAGGAAGGGGCATTAGCCTATTTCTTTTTCTAAAACAGAAATTGCGAATGTGAGTCTTTGGGTGCTTTCCCAGAGATTTAGATTGATCTAAAGATTAAGTTTTAGATCGACCTAACTCCCTGGGTGTTCACGCTAAATTGCAGTCAGCCGAGCGGGCACCATAGTTAATTACCCCCTTACAGCTTTTAGTAGGCGGGACAGACGCTTAAGCCGGCCAAGCTGACAGTAATCTAGTGAGACTCCCCACAGGGATAGATCGATCTAAAAATCCATGGAAATGGGGTGTTAGATCGACCTAACTCCCTGGGGGTTCACGCTAAATTGCAGTCAGCCGAGCTGGCACCATAGTTAATAACCCCCTTACAGCTTTTAGTAGGCGGGACAGACGCTTAACCCGGCCAAGCTGACAGTAATCTAGTGAGACTCCCCACAGGGATAGATCGATCTAAAAATCTATGGAAATGGGGTGTTTGAAAGTGTGGGTTTTTGCGTTTAACCGGCATGAAACATTTTCCCCGAATTACGGACCAGTTTTGATCATCTTCAACTCTTTCATGCATTCAAGGCATTGAACCCAAAAGCGCTCTCCAGAACATATGTTAAAGTGATAATAACTCTTCGTTTCGGCCAAAAAATGAATTTTCCTGGAGTGAACAACAATTTTCTCATACTAACCAATGGTCAATGAATCCATTTTTACATTCAAAGTTAGTCCCTGGTTTTTTTCTGAAAAGTTCGTTTTTTTGTTAAAATCTCTTAAGAGATTTTAACAGAGTATAGCCATCAATGGAGGTTACGTCGTCTAAAGACAAGCTTAGATATCAGAAAAATAGCTATAACTGCCCTTTTTTGTGGTACAACAGAATATATTATATTTCTATGAGTTATTCACAATGTTTTTATTGTGAAATATAGATTTCAGATGAAGAGTTATTATCCCTTTAATTTCTTTGTACAAGCACATAAAAATAACAATAATCTCGGATTTCGTAGTGTTCTTTTTTTTTAATACTTAAGCACGTAATTAAGCACGTACTTTGTATTATGGCTATGCAATTGAAATCAATTACACAAACGCCATATGCCTTTAAATACAACCCCCCAATGCCACTAAGGGGACATCCATTAAAAAAATTAAAAAAATTAATTTCACGAGTCTTCAGAGAGTAGGGCCTATTCTTTATCCAGACCCCCACTCCCTTCCCCCCCCCCCCCCCAAAAATAATAATAATAAATAAGAGCATACATGTACAAGGCGAAAAGCTAAAAATGCCGATCTTTGTGTGCAATTTGGATTATCATTTTTTATTTTTCGCCAGCAAACAGACAACACTACCTC